TCCCTCAGCCTCTCCTCGTAGTGGAGATGTTCCAGTCCCCTCACCATCCTTGTAGCCCTCCGCTGGACTCTCTCCAGTAGCTCTTCATCTTTCTTGAACTGGGGAGCCCAGAACTGGACACAGTACTCCAGATGAGGCCTCACCAGGGTAGTGTAGAGGGGAAGGAGAACCTCCCTCGTCCTGCTGGCCACACTCTTCTTGATGCACCCCAGGATCCCATTGGCTTTCTTGGCAGCCAGGGCACACTGCTGGCTCATGGTTAACCTGTCGTCCACCAGGACACCCAGGTCCCTCTCTGCTCTCCAGCAGGTCCACCCCAAGCCTGTACTGGTGCATGAGGTTGTTCCTCCCCAGGTGCAGGACCCTGCACTTGCCCTTGTTGAACCTCATCAGGTTCCTCTCTGCCCAGCTTTCCAGCCTATCCAGGTCACGCTGAATGGCAGCACAGCCTTCTGGTGTATCTACCACACCTCCCAGTTTGGTGTCGTCAGCAAACTTGCTGAGGGTACATTTCAAGAGGACAAAACAGATTTTGGTTACTAGGGGCAGTTTCTGCCCAAGAAATCCAGGGTTTTGATCAAAATTAGTCGAAGGCAGACAGCAGACAGGTGCATGCAGCAAGGCACTGCCCTCACGCGATGGCAGTGATGGGTTGTGCCCATGCCCAGGGCACCCAAAAGGGGAGAAGGAGCCAAAGAAGTGCAATAAAAAGGAAAAAAAAACACAATAAAAATCAGGGATTCACACCACAGCTTCCCACTGAGTCGTTCTCAGGGGGACGTTGCCAGCAGCCGTGCGTTAAGCCATGGTGAATCCTGATCGCCGGCTCCCCGACCCCTGGCCAGGGGAGGCTCGGTGACCCAGATACCGGCCCTTCAGCGAGAGCGTGCTGGGGCTCTCCAGGCTCTGGCCAGCCGACCTCTTCCACGGAGGGCACTGCCAGGAGCAAATCTCCCAGCAACTGCACCCCTCACAGCCCTCCCTTCGCTGGAGCAATTGGGAACGCCTGAAAAGGAGAAAGTTATTTGTATCATGTCTGGGGGAGAAAGGGAAGAAAGGACAATGAATTTTTTAAGCTGGCTGAATTTGGTTATTTCGCTGCTTGATGACCGAGATGGAAGCCTTCCCCTGGCCCAGCAGCGAGGGCAGAGGGACCGCAGCGTGCGGAGCCCAGGAGGGATGGAGGCACAGCCCCGGGAAGGGGAACACCATCACCAGGAGGAGCGAAGCCGCTTTGTTCTTAGAAGCATCACTTTTCAGCACTCCAAGTCATCAAAGCATTGCTGCGAGCGGTGTGAGCTCACGAGCAATTTCAACATCAGAGTCCACCCCGGTGAACCTCTCGGCCACCCATCGCTGGGCTCACGCGATGGGAAGCGTCCCCACCCCAGACCCTCCAAGCAGCGCAAGCTCCGGTCTCGCGATGGCAGGACTCCACATTCGCTTTACAACCACCCAGCAGGAAGCACGGATAAATAATTCATATCTGTATTTCATAAAACCCGCCTTTCACCAAGTTCCCTGGAGTACAAACCCAGAACGTTTCCAAATCCTCGCATCTCTTACGAAGCTCTACAAGAGTGGTGAAAACCTTGACTCAGCTCCATCCTCAAACCAATCACGCATGGAAAACTCCGCAGAGACAACAGCAGCGTCCACCCAGCATCAACTCCAGCACCTCCAGCCCCTGTCCCCGAGGAAGGAGCACCCACCACCAGCCCCAGGGACCACCCAGGCCACCCTTCCCCACCCAATCCTCATTAGCTTTCAGAGGGGGATCAGGGAAGCGCTGTCTGAGTCGCAGGGGATTTACGGGGTTTCCCAGGAAATCCTTGAGCACACACAAGTCTCCAGTGGCTGAGATCAAGAGTAAATACATTTATCACTGTCTTTTGAAAGAAGGTCTCTCCTACTCGAGAGCCAAAGAGGGGGAAACTACACAGATTTCCCTGACCTGAGGCAGATCCCCGGCTGATTTTGGTACAGGAGAAGGTCTCTGCAGGTTAACTGGCCCTCATTAGGAACCAAGTCCTAATGACAAGGGGACCTAATATCTACTTACAAATATCTGCAGGGTGGGGGTCAGGACGATGGGGCCAAGATCTTTTCAGTAGTGCCCAGCGACAGGACAAGGGGCAACGGGCACAAACTGCAGCAGAGGAAGCTCCAGCTGAACATGAGGAAGAACTTCTTCCCTCTGAGGGTGACGGAGCCCTGGCCCAGGCTGCCCAGGGAGGCTGTGGAGTCTCCTTCTCTGGAGATATTCCAGACCCACCTGGACAAGGTCCCCTACAGCCTACTGTAGGTGACCCTGCTTGGGCAGGAGGGTTGGACTAGATGACCCACAGAGGTCCCTGCCAACCCCGACCATGCTGGGATTCTGTGAAGTCGAATGCTTTGCTTCAGCAAAGAGCGGCGAGAGCTCAAACGCGCGGGGATGGGTCACCGGGCAGCGGAGGTGTTGCACCAAGAGGCAGCGCTTGCTGCCCCGGTCACTCGTGCAGCTCCACAAACGATTCCCCAAGGAGATTCCCACGTGCAGGAGGAAGGATGATGCTGTTGGATATGTTTCTCCCCAACAACCGAACAAATATACAGATGCCTCAAGCCCTTCTCCACCTTCTCTGCTCTCCCCCTTCAGCCTCCCTTCTGCTCATCCAGCCTCCAGCGACTGCAAACCACCAGACGGGAGCGATTGCGTGGTCCCAGTTTGGCCAGAGGCAGCCACGGCCAAGGAAACTGGGCAACCACACGTGGTCCCAGCAGGATCACCCCTGGCCACACAACTGACCTGGCTGGAAGCCGGTCCAGGGATTCCCTGGTAAATCCAGGGAAAAAAAAAAAAGCAAACAAGGAAATCCATGCACGCAAACAATATTTTTCATCAAAACTTCAATTCCAAGCACTGGCAATGTCTGAACGCGCTTCGGGTCCCGCAGCGAGTAGCCTGGTTATGGTGGACACGCTGCCAAGCTTCCCGACCGCCCCTGTGAACGAGAGCAGTGGGCGAGGGGCAAGAGCCAGCTTTCCAGCAAATTCTGAAAGCTGAGCTCGCGTTCTGGTGCCTTCGAGTGAAGAAGCTGTTTAGCCAGATGTGCACCTCC